ACTTAAAACTTAACATTTTCGTATAAATATCCTTAAAATGTCTAAAAATCACATGCTAGAAGGCGCCCGACGTTCCTCAGCATAATTTCAGCAGGATTTCGAGGAATACTATTGTAAAAAATTAAATCAACAAATACATAAACAATAATTCATTAATAAACCCCACTTATGAACGAAAAACAATTAATGCATTGATTAATCTAAGGCAGTAGTATACAAATAACTTTGTCTTTGCCATTTATTTAGCCCGCTTCGTGATTTTATTAGTTGTAATTAGAAGACATGTAATATAGGAATGATCAAAACAGCTTAGACTAACTTGAATAAAAAACAGCTTTGGCTTTCCAGCTAATGAGGAGCACCGGTCAGCTCTGAAGAAGGAGACAATGGCATCTGTAGGTAGATAGCCATCAGTTGCATAAATTACCCCATTGGCGCCGTGACTGAGGATGACGCATACAAAACTATCATATTTACCGTGATTTTGCGAGGATACTGGTATGAAAAAAAAAATACCAATTCAGCTTTTTTTAAATTAACATTTTGTCTTGGTAAAGCATTGCACCATGAAGGAGTCATAGCTAGAAGCTACAACTTAAAGTATTTATATCTAGTGAAACCAATATCATTGGGAAATAAAATTTTTGAGCATGAAGAATGAGGGGAAGGAATATAAATCACTCATAAGAAAGTAAATGAACTAATGGTGAATCGCCTCTAGAGAATAGTATGAATATTATAATGGAGGATGAAATCATAAGAAGGAGCCAAGGAGCATTTAGAATACACATTTTGGAGTTAAATTCTACGAAAAATGCATCGAAGTCCCACGCTGTTTTTACCCATCTAACCACTATTTGGCAGAACTTTTATTCCTTGTTATATATATAAGGGATGAAAAAAAAGATATATATATATATATATATATTCAAAACCTACTTACTCGGAAAATCTATCAAGTCGATTGAAAAATTTCTCCAAAGCATGTTTCAAATGAAGTGAAAATCATCCTGAGATTGTGTACATAAAAGTTATAGAGTATTCAGTTTAGCTTACCCTCAAAAAGTAGGGACTGGAACTGCCGCATTGTTACGTTGGTAGATCTATTAACTGAGTAGCCAAGGCGTTTAAAAACTCTTTCAATATTGTCCGCATCCCGGTCAGTTCCATCTCGACGCTCCTGTCCCGTCTTTGCATGGTCAAAGTCCCGTTGATTAATTAGCAAACAAATGCCTCGTGGATTGTCGCGCCAGTGGGGATTGGCCAGATTAGGGTAGGAGAATCCAGGATCATTTAGATCTAATATTTTTATAGTTGATACGGCTTTTTGAAGAGAAATAGCATTTTCATCACTTAAAGATACGGATAGATCGCCTGAATTTGCCACAGCTGTCAACTTTTTGGATCTTTCAAAAAAACGATTCCAAAGAAAAACTAAGATATAATATTCTGAATTCATTCTATCGCATGATTTTAAATATATGAACGATTTAAATTTACATATGATTTATATTCTTATACTGTTTGTTAGAAAATTCTGCAAAATGAAGAGTTAAGCTTTAGGTAAAGTTTAGCGAGAGTGTATTTTGTCCCGAAGCCTCAAAAGGTGGAAAGATCAATAACGTTGGCCTGACCTCGTTTTCGCAACTTGGTCGAAGCATCATGGAGACCTAGTGGAACGTACCTTGTTATGTATCTGCCACAGTATTCATGATTACCAGCACCGTACATTGTTACATTTCCAAACGTTTTGCTAGCATCGTAAGCGAGAGGCGCCATCGTTAGCATAGAGTTATAAATGAAGGCAATCCCTTTGACCAATTTTCTGTTCAGCCGTTGTAACATCACTCCTCGCGATTCATTTTTGTTTAACCCCACTTCATATCGCCCACCCACC